TTAAAACGACATCTGGTTCTCGAATGTGCACTTCTCTCCACGTCGTCAGTGCCACCTTTAAAACCCTGAATGTGTAACGCTTGGGCTAATTCGTTTACTTGCGATTTTATCAAGGAGAGTCGATAAACCGGATTAAGTCGCCAACACGTCCGGTGAAATAAATGAGTGACATCGACGCCACTATTTTCGATCACTATCAGACGCCACTACTGTCAGTCACTGTCAGAATACCAATTTGTACATTCAGCTGAAACCGATAAACGCAATATGTAAGCGTGAGAACACACAGCATTTGAACTGCGTAGGTTGAAGGACTTTGAGCCAGGTGCTAATTGAATGCTGTGTGAAGTGGGATCACCGTTGGCATATGGCTAAGCGCCTAACATTTCTTTGGATGCATCGCTGCGATTAGAACATGTTTGCGTGGTTCTACTTGTGCACACTAGAGATTTGATGGCATGGCTCTCGATATTCCCACCTTATCAATTTTTTTGGCTGCATTGTGGTGGATTCAAAATCAGGCCAGTTGCATCGCGAGTAAATGCAAGGAGGTTCAGATCAGTGACAAGTTGACACCCAGTTAGCATGTTCTGGGTAAGAAATATACCATGTTTGTTCGATCGTGACCAGTATTTGCAGGCGCGTGTTCCTTTCTCTAACCATCGTTTAATTCGAGGTCAGTGTTATAGACGTCGTTCGCACAATCCGGGTTTTGATAAATTATCAATGATCCACATGTTTTGGCCGACCCATCCGTGGTATGTTTAAAGCCATAAGCATAATCAGAATAATTATAACAAAAGCTTAACCTCTTCTGCTAAAATTAACAAATATCCGCCAAGTGCCAAATGTTTTGTTTAATCTGCAGATAAATTATCTGCCACATCAGCAACCACCCATACCTTCTTCGTGGCTGGTGGATTCAGTTTCGGTGAATCAGTTGTCAGGCCACAATTCCTTCCCTGTCTCGTACCGTGCTAAAGGCATCAGCTATGCTAAAACGATGCAGCCACTGTCTGCATTTGGAGACCTCTTCATCCATGATACTACTGAGGACTTCAATATCGTTGGTAATACCAAGGGAGATTGCAGCAGCTCACCAGGTTATCCATGTGCCCATCCACGTGGACGTCTCGATGCATGTTCCCAAGGCAAGCGTTTTGTTTACACTTGGCAAAATACATATGATACCAGTTCCTACACTCACATCGCCAATGCCAATCAATTGCAGTTTTCTACAACACCGGATCATGTCGCACAATTGTCGAGTCGAAATATGTCTTGCTCTTCCACGTGCCGCATGCAGTCTTCCTACCGCCCCCTTAACCGCCATTTACGCTTTGGAGCGAAGACCAGCTTCAGGGTCAGCACATGGCACCTGCACTGCGCCTAATACTTAGTAGGCCAATTCGATTTGCAAAAGAAGATTTGCCTGGATATCCTTCCGTTAGACAGCATTTCTGTGCTTGTGAATTGCAAGCAAATTACGAGAATGCATTTAAAACCTATCCAGTGTTTACTTTTAGCTTGGGAAGCGAAACCACTTGCGTCTACTCTGTGGCGCACCCCACCTCAACTGTCACCACCACCTACATGAACACAAACGTCGACGTTAAACCCACTGTTCCATCTTAACTGAAGAATTGTGAGGGCCACTTATATTTCACGCTTTGCGCATCCCTCACTCAAAAATTCCCTCGAGAACTAATTAATCACGCAGGCATCCATTTCCACACTGCCATGCATAATGGTGTGTGAACAGGCAACTCCTCGCTCCTGACGGCCGCATGACAGTTACGAGGTAGCATTGAATCGGGGAATGCGGTGATAGGGCGGCGAGATAGCGACTACAGTGGTTAGGTGAGAAACAACACGGTTTACCACCACTCGGTCACTGCGATCACACACGCACACTCATGCACCCACGCTCAAGCGCGCATGAGCGCACAGCCACCCATCACTCGCAGCGCGTGAATTCACGGTGGTGGCCATACACACCACTTTCAACTGTATTAGTAAACGAGTGAGCTGCACGCTATCTGCGTCCCTCCGCTAGCCTTCTAGCCTTCTGCCTCTTTTCAACAGCAGAAGGCTATGCCTGAAATAAACTGAGGTTGGCGTTGGTGCATCCACTTCATCCATCAAGGCATCTGGAAAGCTGTCGTTAGGATTATCAAATTGTCATTCTCGTGCTCAAGCAGACACAAATATTTGGCCCCAAGTTGAGATTGATCGTCAATATCAGTTTAAACCGCGACAAGCACAAAATCACCACAACCACCATCACCACCACGATCGTATTTACTCCAAGGCATGCATTGCAATGTACCTGCATCATCTAGCGTTTGGTCAGCACATCTAGGAACTATTACCTACTCGAACCGCTTGACGAGACGAATACTGCATGGCTGCCAGTTTGAGGAGTCAGAAAGTGGAGAAAATGGCAAGAAAGAGACCCCGTGGTTGTTGATGCTTCATGTTCACACTGACCCTCGAGTCCGCCTTAAGCCCAGGAAAGTGGTATGCTATGCACCAACATGTGCACACACCGATCGGCTTGTTACCTTGTACACTTACACACAGCACCTGTGTATTAGTAAACAAGTCGGCTTCACGCTATCTGCGTCCTTCCGCTAGACTACAATGGATGGGGCGGTGTCAGTGTAGGTCGAGGGACTTGAGGTGTTTGTGTGACTGCAACGGAACATGCAACAGCTTCAGTGGTGAATTGCGATGAGAGACAGTGATGGTGGGTTTAATTGGAGGACATGATAAAAGAAATGCTGTTGTTAGGAAATGGGAGAAGCGTCGGCCGGACGTGGTGGTGCGCGTCCTTCATCCAGCGACATGGAGGACAGGTGGCGTAAACCGTCGTGGTCATCTACATCGTTGTCACTCACGTCAATGGCGACGCCTTGCCTCATGATCTCCATGGTCGTGTGTAGTGTGTCGACCGTGGAAAAATGCGCCAGTAGCGTTGGCAGCAGGAGCAAGATGGCAGTTGCACTACACGGGCGAGCGCGAAGGGCCTTGGGATGTGGTAGTACCCACCAGCTGGTGACACGGGCTGCTACGGTCTTAAGGCTAGGCGCTAGCAGGGTTGGCAGCACGAGCGAGGTGGTGGTTTCACCAAACGACCATGAGGCAGGGCGTCCCCATTGTCTCGAGTGAAAACAGCGTTGATGACCACCACTGTTTCCGCCACCTGGCCTCCTCGTAGCTGGATGAGGAACGCGCGCCGCCACGTCCGGCCTAATTTCTCTGATCTCCGAACAACACCATGACTTTCATCATGTACTCCAATCTAACTGTACTCCACTAAACCTGTTGCATGTTGCGATGCAGTCACACAACCACTTCGCATCACTCAACAACAATTTTGCGGAAGATGTCGTTGCTGCTGCATGCAATGATGAACAGCGCTACACTGCATGAAGTAGCAGCAGTGCTAACACTATGCTTGTGGCGGCGAATAGGAAAAAGAGGCGACGAAGACCGCAGCAGCCGACGTCACGAGCTGGCAGGTACCACCACATCCCCAGGCACTTTCCGCACGGCCATGTGGTGCGGCCACGCAGTGCAGCCAACGCTACTGGCACATTTCACCACGGTCGACACACTACACATGACCATGCAGGCCTTGAGGCAAGGCGTCTCCATTGTCACGAGTGACAACGACGTTACCGACCATCACGGTTTTCGCCACCTGACCTCCATGTCGCTGGATGAGAGACGCGCGCCGCCACGTCCGGCCGACGATTCGCCCATTTTCTAACCAAACCATTTCTATCACCGTGTTCCTCAATATAACTCACCATCTCTGTCTGCCATCGCAATTCACCACTGAACCTGTTGCATGTTGCGACGCAGTCCCAAAATCTCTTCACGTCGCTCGACCTACACTGACACCGCTCCATTCATTGAAGGCCAGCGGTGAGACGCAGATAGAGAGATGCACAATGCCCAACGATCAGCACTGCCGGACGCATCCTCTAACTTACCTATTCTCATCACGGTGTTTTGACGGAACTAGAACAACGAGCAACATCACCAGCATCACTGAGATTTGGCTGAGAGGATGATTGCGGTTGGTATTATAGGTACGGATTGGGAATGAGAAAAGTCAGTGGCTGTTGGTCTTAAGGATTGACGCAATGTAATGGCCATGTTGCACAGCAGGGTCACAGCGTTGTGAACGAATTAATGAGAAGCAGTTAAGCAGTCATGTCTCATGACCTTCATAAGACAATGAAACCATCTCTAGGTGAATGCACGTTTCGCTAAACCGGCCAACCAGATTCCAGCGCGCATGCAAACATGCGCTCACACAAACACCCAACTTCCACCACCGGTTCTGTGTTTCATTAATGCTGATTTCGCATTGCAGAGTGGAAGCAATCATTTCTTGCTCTGGTTCAAACAATACTTGGAAAAATGGACCAAGATGATTCCTCCATTCAATCCACTTCACCGACACAAACATCACCAACAGGCAACATGCATCCATGCGTGCCCAATTCCAGCGATCAGCCAATACAGAACACACAGTTAGCTGCCTCGGCATTCTACCAGCCATCCCACGAGGTGAACGGTGGAGTATTCGCTCCAATTGTTGAATCTCCTCCAAGCTCGCAAGCGCTCTGCGGACAAGCATTGGGTCAAACACACACCCTCACCCACCCATCATCCGCACCTCCAAATCAGAGTTCAAGCGGAACTAGCGTAGATCCGAACTTGCGATGGCAGCGTAGAAGTAAGTTTTGGTGTATGTCTGAAGGACTTGACTACTGTCTCTTATCTGGCCAAAACAATGACGTCAATCCCCTGCAAGATTTTATTGTCCGTCACTGAAGTTGATGAAGTGCAGTTAAATATAACAAACCAGTTAGTAATAAGTATTCAGGTATTTCACGTAGACTAACAACGATGCTCTCAGTATGGGATATTGTATTTTAGAGCGCTGATGTCAAGCAACTAGTTAATAGTGTTTACTTCTTCCACACAGAATACCCGCACATTCCGAGTTACCTAAACCCCTCCAACGGACCTGTACCCTGTGTCGTCTGCGGAGACAACGCCACGGGCTTCCATTACCGTGCCATGATCTGTAATGGGTGCATGGCCTTCTTTCGTCGTTTGGTGCAAAATAAACACCAGTACACGTGTTTATTCAATGGCCAGTGCTCTGTCGACGGTAAGCAGAATCGGAATAGATGCAAGAAATGCCGACTTGAACTGTGTCTCAACCGTGGAATGGCAATCGACCGTAAGTTGCCTGTCGTCAATTATCCTCTACTGATGTTTCATTTGAACAAACATAAAGCCAAGTTTAGACAATGTATCCACACGATTGATACACGGCAATTAGAGCGCGTCCTATTTAGTCTCCAGATACTATTCTGAATCCCATCCACCACATGTTCCCTCTCTCTCTCTCAACTTTATGCTATTACATCACAGCCATGTGCATTCCTTACCATCACCTACACTCGTCCACCTGCCCTTTTATCTGATTCATGTAATATGCTGCATTTCGATATATTGCTATATTTTACAGATTTGTGTATCATGTGGTCGAAGTAACACAACATTTCTTACGTCAACTAAAAAAGAATTGTACATACCACCAATTAGATGGTGACTGCAAATGAGCGTGTTTGTAGCGTTTTGTCTCATAAATCAATTTGAATTGAAGTTGCACTCTACTTTATGCTATCACAATGCAACCTTGTGCATTCATCACCCACTTTTCGCGTTCTAGCCATCATGTTTTTATCTAATTTACGTAATATGTCGCATGGTTAGCAAATTTTGTATCATTTGCCTAGAAGTGAAACAGATTTATTACGGTAATATAAAAGCACCATTAGTTGAATTTTGGAACGACAGATTTTGGTCTCGATTACACGCAATAATAGTATTGTAAGAATCGTTTGCCATCTGAGGACTGCTTGAAATAGAGCAATGCATCAGTTGCATATTAATCGAAGAGGCAAGTGCGTGGCTGTCTTAGCTTTGGTCTGGAGCTCGTTGTAGATGTGACACGATTTGTCTGGCTCGCCCCGGTTGTTGTCAGCGCTCGCAGCCGAGTTGGTGAATGACTACATGCACAACATAGACACGAGTTCACCAGTTAGTTAAATGAGAATGAAACCGAATCGCAGTGGTTAGATCAAGTATCGATTTGCTGACTGCTCGTTTCGCCAGTGCATGCTCGTCAAAAACCAATAAACCCTTACCCTAGTATGTACTCAGTGGATCAATGTGCACCACCTAAAAATCTGCTTTTGAACGTGAACAGGCGAGTTGACCTTTGCTGCATGGATTTCGATCTAATCACGTATCGATCGACCTAATCGCATACTCAACTGGTAATTTCTCACTACACAGATTCTGAACGCCACCTCTTAGACACTGACCGCAACGCACAAAAGCCCACGTTAGACACCCGATTAAAAGTGCCATTTTAACGAGGGAACTCACGGAGTTGTTAGAAAAGCGTCACCATCACACTCAGACCCCTGTTTGTCTCTGTAGATCGTGAAGCAGTTAATTTAACAAAAATGAAATTGCAAATTTGCACTTGTTTACGATGGAGGGTCTATTCGACGCATGATCAAACGGAGATCTCCATGCAGGTTTTTCCAGACAACGAGCATATCCGCAGCCAGAAAGAATCTGGATTTGAATAAGCGGATATCTGCCTGTGGTTTAAAATTCTTCTGGTTTACTCGTGATGCAAATGCCCTGAATTCTCACCAACCTTGAGTCATCCTATATAATCGATAGAATGCAAAAGTGGGAGGCAGGCTACTCGAATCAGGTATGGATAAGTCGGCATACACGTTTAAAAATACGGTTTACTATCAAACATCAGGTTTTTTTCTGGTGTAAATTAAAGAGGAAATTTATTGAGTAAAAAAATCTACAGCACCACATTCCTACCTCAGTCTATCGAAATAGGTGGTGGAACATCGAATCTCACAACCATGTAGCGGTCAATTTGCGTTTGCTCAAGAGAGAGAAAGAGAGAGGGAGACTATACAGCACCTCACTTAGCTTTGGCAGGGATTCATTCAAGGCATTTTAGAGTCAGAGACGACTGTTGTTCTCCGTCAACCAGCATCTCCACTCAAAAGCTTCAAATTCTTGCAGGTTTTTGCGGACAGATGGAAGGTGAAGTTGAGTGAGTGGAATGTTTTCGTGATAGCGAATTAAGCTAATGTGGTTGTGCATCATCGCTAGCTTAAAGTTCTTCGGATCGATTAGCAATGCAGCTGCCTTGATGTAGCTGTAGAATACCCGAGCCCTAATAGGAAAAAGACCGGTACAACAGAACATGCTTTATTGACCAATCAGAAGCCAGAGCCGCACGTCAGGCGCCTTCCATCCGAGTCCACCACGCTGGCAACGCCGCTCATTATATACTGCACCTCATTCATGTCCTCCTCCGGTTGGCTGCTCACCTTCCTCGCATGCCATTGGAACACAGAGAGACACAGGATTGGCTGAGGCCAGGTGGTCCAACATGTCTGCGCCCTGATCCGACGCCACATTAGTATCTGCCCTTATTCATCGAAGCTAATCGTTGGAGCAGCAATACTAATCAAAATACGTTAGTAAAAATTTGTAACACGCATACTCGTCCAAATCGAAACCATGTGTGGACAACATCGAAAGTGCTTGCCACTGAGATTTCGTTTCTTAGTTCACGGTTCAGAAGCGATGCATAAACTGCCATATTGGAAAACGAGAGTGCTTCGAGTCAGATTGGCAGGACAAGTTAGTTGATTCTATCAAATCGGATTACCTGCAATGGTTCTGTAACTTAGACGCAGAAAATTGTAGCCATATTCAAGAGAAGGCACATTTTGTGTTACTTAGTAAATAGCCACTTTTGCCAGAGAGGATGCAACTTTGAGCGTGCTGATAGCAGTGCAGCAATTCACATCGACAGCAATCTAATGTAGACTACTCCTCGCTGAGCGATGATAAATCGACTGATCGCTTTGTGGCGTCGGATTAGGGCGCAGACATGTTGGACCACCTGGCCTCAGCCAATCCCGTGTCTCTCTGCGATCCAATGGCATGCGGGAAAGGATGGCAGCCAACCAGAGCAGGACATGAACTGAGGTGTAGTATATAATGAGCGGCGTGGCCAGCGTGGTGGACTCGGATGGAAGGCGCCTGACGCGTGGCTCTGGCTTCTGATTGGTCAATAGAGCCTGTTCTGTTGTACCGGTCTTTTTCCTATTAGGGCTCGGGTATTCTACAGCCTACCGCGAGCAGTAAAACAGTTAAACAAATTGCGATTAAACGCTAACTCATCATTCCATTTTTGGCACTAAACATCGATTAGAGTGGTTGGAGTGAGGGTGCGGTGAGACGCTATGGCATCGATTTATGGACAACCAAATTAACGACATGCAATGTAGATCATGGCTGTTTAAGGTGAATTCTCGGAAAACAGGCAGCTCAATTTTTTAGAAACTCAGGACATGTCCTAAAAGAAATATTTTTAACCATAATTCTCTGGACATGTGAATTTGGTTACACGTAAATGGTCACATTGCCAGACAGTTACCAAGCATGATTTTTGCTTGGTTGAAATGTTTGGTCGGCCAGCCGTCCTCCGAACCAACTCGAAATTATTAAATTTGTCATGCATTCTTAAAAAAGACATTAGCATTTTAGCTTGGTATTCACAAAATGTATGGGCGATGGCAGAAGAGATGACTTCTCCGTATTGTCGGCGTGCGATGTATTTTAAGATCTATGGATTATGTGCTAGGACATAATTCCGAGTTCAAATGAATGCTTTGACAATCGAATGGAATGTCCGATTCCATCAGTGGCAACTGCGGATGCTCGGATGTATTCGGGACATGGTGTAATCTTGCTGTGCACATCCGCAGACGGCGACTGCCAATGGGAAAGGGCCTTGTTTGGCAGTATCCGCCACATTAATGGAAGATTGAGTTACAATTTATTATTGTCCTCTTCAATCACGACAATGGGGAATTAAGACGGAGCGTATCGATGTATTGACTAGCCTGGTCATTTTTTGAAGTGTGAAAAGCTTGTGTAAGGAGAATGCCTGATGTTGGTCAATCATTGGATTTTCCATAATTAATCCGAGGTGCATTTGGGGTCAAGGCAGAGGATTTCGGTTTCCTAAATTCCATGCTTGTTTTTATTTTCGTAGACGTTACTGAGAAATCATATCGAAAATTACCTGTCACTTCAATACCTTCAAGGTCTTTCAATTAGGTCCTGAATAACCGTATTATGAGAAAGGGGGGAAAATGCAGAGAATAAAGGCAGATAGGGGATGTTTTCGTGATTTGACGATTATTTGAAATCGGCACTCACATTTAGACAAAAAAAATCGGTGTCATCAGTCATCAGACGCCGTTCTCCCTGGCGATACTTCCTGATTTAGTCAAAGTGACACAAGTTTTGACTTCTGCTGCCTCGCACTGCAATTTCCTGCATCGAAATTTCAGAATAAGGGAAGATACTGACTAAGTTTTCTCTAGGATATGCTCCACTCGAGTGCGCATAAAACATCGTGATTTACGCACAGTAATTAAAATGCGGCTACAAGAATCGCTGCCAAATGTCTAGTGCACGATTAAAGTGACGTTTCTATGCCAAAGTTTGAGTTACCAGGTTCCCAATTTTCCTGTTCTATAAACCAGGTCAAATACAACATGCTACGCATTTTGCGCCATCGAACAAATCGACATTCAGTTGGCTTGTTCCACCTTTTATCCCTACTTTTGATAAACCTCTGTATAAATGCTAGTTGGTGGCAAACAAACGTAGTTGACTAAAATATTCCATGCAGATATCTGCCCAAAGAGACCTAAGCGAAGAATTGGCTAGATCTCTCAGATAAGAGTCCACTGGCCACCTCATCCTTGTAAGGCTCATGGCTTCACGACCTAAGCCGACAGACTGGGGTCTGAATTTATTGCCAAGGATTTTCTATCAAATTTACGTGGTTATTCCTTACTTAACGTTAAGATTGCGAAGAATTTCTTCAATCGTTAACAGCGTTTAAGGCGTGATTCTCGGCTTTGCGATCACATATCACGAGGCCAGTGTTAGATAGGTCGTGAACACATTCCGGGAAATGATTAATCAGCTAGAAATATCTGATTAGATCAGTCAGTACGTGCTCATTTCCGAAATCATGCGTCAAGTGACAGTTCGGTTGATCATGTGCACAAGCGACTTATTTAGCGACGCACTCTAATCCAATGAATCCATACGCTGCCGTCTGCATTGCTGACGACCATGCGCTTGACACGTGACCACATCTGCTGCTGTGTATTTATGTTAGGTGTTCTGTTTACTTTTTGGTGGAAATGAAAGCTTTTGCTGGAGATTTAATCCTGGTTTGCTAATTAGTTGCATGGAGTTACTGAACGCAATTGGTTGATGAATGTAGTGAGCAAAACAACGGTTGATCTGAACACTACGATCCGGTTCACTGTTCCCTCAACTATTTCGGAAACTTATCCAGATACAGTTTATCCAGCGAGGCAGCTAACAAACTTTGTCTTGATAACTACCACCACCAACGACCAAATATATGGTCCATGTGTTCAAGACCCATGTTCGGTTTGTGATACACTTCCAGTATTAGTTGAACATCTAACTCTAATTTGCCGATATAACTCTCGTGCTGCTCTATTTCAGATTGTTCTGAGGATGTCAGACCAGCTGATAGGGCTCTTTTCGATATCATCTCCAGTCCGAATCATATAGAACGACGCCCAGAAAATTGTCTTCGTGCTTTGACTCACCAGTTTCACGATATTTCTCTCGACAATTTGGAAAAACCAACAGAGCGAGCCCTAAAGTTTTACTGAAATGTGAACAACTGGACTATTCCCGACGGGATCATGAGCCATGGGGTTTAAGTAGACAGCACTATCCGTGGTAATCATGGATTGTGTGTAAGTGTGTAGCATCCACTTCTTGGGAATTCATTCGCTCATATTGAGTGTGGCGTTTGGATCTAAAATATTTCGCAGCTGAAATCACGGCGTGTACCGAGGCAAGATGATTTTTATCTACAAAAACTGTAAGCCTGAACCATGATGTTACTATCAACGAAGCCTTTTTGTGCTCTGGATCCCTAAAGACCGTGCCAACTCTGTCACCTACGACTTGTGACATC